CATTTCTGTTTGCTGCAGCTACTTGTAGTGCATTGCCATTAAAACCACCCTGAGCATTCACATCTGCCCCGCGCTCGAGGAGAAGTTCCACAACCGATTCATTTCCTTTTGTTGCAGCTGCTTGTAGTGCATTGCCATAATGGCCACCCTAAGCGTTCACATCTGCACCGCTCTCGAGGAGAAGTCCCACAACCGATTCATTTCCGTTTAATACAGCAGCCAGTAGTGCATTGCCATATTCGCCACCCTGAGCATCCACGTCTGCCTCACGCTCGAGGAGAAGTCCTACCACTGTTTCATTTCCTTTTGCTGCGGCTGCCTGCAGTGCATTGCCGTAAAAGCCACCCGGAACATTCATATTTACCCTATCCTCCGTTCTGTTGACTAGTAAATTACAAGCCGTCGGTAGACCCAACAAGGAGCAATAGTAGATTGCTGGTGGGTAAGACCCGGAATCCTCGGGTTCACCCCGCCAGGGATCATCGGGGTCATATATATCTAGCCAGCCTTGGCCAAGCTCGAGCACCTTTACCAGCTGCCTAAGACTCCCATCAGTCACTCTCGGCTTTTCCAAATTCCGATCGCCCCGCTCACTCGGGTCCGCCATTCATCCGACCAAGCTAAATCTCACTTCCGGATTTTCAGCTTTATGAATCTGGCGGTGAGGGTTCCTCCTGCCCATAATTGGAACAATGTCCACGAGTTGAGCACAAATCCTTCATTACCATCAAGGCGGACCTAGGTGGAAACCGAAGATGAGGGAAGCCTCTCTGACAGTAATAGATGCTTGGAATCAACCCATACCTGTTACCAAATTTGACTTACAGAAAGCTTTGTAGGGCGACGGGAAATTCTATGTGCAATTATACCCCGGCGGGGGGCTCTAGTGACTGATGTGTGATTACACGTCTATAGAGTGCTAGATCTAACAAAATGAAAATAAAAGCGAAGAACAGAGAAAACAAGACCATAAACGATGCATCCCCCGAGAGGAAAGAAGACACTATCTCATTAACAGCCCTCTATAAACCTGTATCAAGGGCCTTATTCCGCTTGAAAAAGGAAGGAAAGGGGTGGGTGAAGGAAAATAGAAAAGTGGAAAGGGAGCTCCAAAGCCCAAGACTAGACCCAACTAACTATTAAATAAATTGGTAAGTCATCATGGCACTTCCCTCCTCCTCTAGACCTTCCACGCCTTCCCGGCACGTCCGGAGAAACTCTCATCAACCTGCTCCCGCCACCAGGGTCTTATTGATAGATTCACAGACTAAGGGTAAGTGTGGACATATCCCCATAGGATCCGAAATATATTCAGTTTTGATCTGAAAGGCCGGTAGTATTCGACGGCGGATCGGCAGGGACTTTCACGATATTGCGAACGAACGATCGAACCGCGAACGAGCTGCGAAAACCATCGAGAGAACGAGCGAGCGGCGGCGCTAACGCAGGTATGAAACTAAAGGAACGAGTGATGGACCGTGAAACGTAACAACTCTAAGATCACTCACGTGAAACGGTCTCACAACTCACAGCGGGGGGAGGAAAACTCTTCAATTCAGCAACCTCGCTCTCACTATCGCGCACTCTGCCTATCTAACTAACGGTAATGGCAGGAGTATATATCAATGACACGAAAAGACGACAAAGTCCTAACCTCCCTCCCCCAGGTAGATCTCCCATACATGAGCAAACACGAAAAGCTAACCAAGAGAAGACAAACTTCGGCTACAGAACCACTGGCGATCGTGGACCTCACCGATTTCCTTCGTTACCTTCCTTCCAATCCACCATCCGCTATCCTTCCGGCGGATGCACGTCCCCAAAGACTCCCGCGCACTCCCACACACTCCCGCGATCGAAGCGCTTTCCCGAAAAGCCAAACTGCGCGGGCAGAAGCCTATGCGTCCAAACCCATATCGCGCCCGAAATCCAAGGGCGCTCCTGAAGAGTGTGCCAACAAACCAACTAGACCATCGCGAGAGCATACCAAGAAGCACCTCACAATTTCCCACGGGTGGTGAGAATAATAATAATAAGAGATTGGGTCAAACAAGCGTCAATCCGAAGGTATTAATGAAGGACACGGACAACTTGTGTAATGTGGAACGAGGGGCATTTCCTGAGGTGTTAGACTGGGCGCGGAATAAAGGAAACCGACAGATATTAGGTTTAGAGATGCCCAATGCCCGGTGGGGGTCACAGATCCGGGTGTGAATATTCGAGTGAACACCGGATGAGGTAATTCGGAATTTTGAAGAAAGCGCCGGCGGAAGGCTTCCAAGGTATTCGGTGGGAGCAAGATAAATGGGATCGAAGAAATGAGCAGTTGTTTGTGTGGGGTGCGGGACAGAGTGCGGTTGTGGGGCGGCAGACTGCCGGGAACACGGCGCACGGAGGCAGGAGTTGGGCTTTCTTGCAGCGGTCGCACGAAATACCAGTACGAGGAAGAGTGAACGAATACGGCATATGAAAGGGGCAACTTCAAGAATCGGTGGTGACTGTAGGAATAGAATATTCGAGTAGCGGGAGAATTGAAAGTCTCCTAGCCGGTTGTGCTACTTGTGTCAAACGCCTAAGTCTCTGAATTGGGATCTGCCCCGTGTGTGAGGAGAAACTGCACAATGGATTCACGATGTAATTCTTGCGCTGCTCGTAGTGCGTTGCCATACCGGCCACCCTGAACATTCACGTCTGCCCCACGCTCGA